GCGTGTTCACCTGAGTGTGTTTGTGTGTTCACCTGAGTGTGTTGGCATGTTCACCTGAGTGTGTTTGCGTGTTCACCTGAGTGTGTTTGCGTGTTCACCTGAGTATGTTTGCGTGTTCACCTGAGTGTGTTGGCGTGTTCACCTGAGTGTGTTGGCATGTTCAATGAGTGTGCTTGCGTGTTCACCTGAGTGTGTTGGCGTGTTCACCTAAGTCTGTTGGTGTGTTCACCTGAGCGTGTTTGCGTGTTCTAGCATGGCTTCGGCGGAGTGTGTCCTGTATCCCAGCTGCAGCAGTTCAGCAGCAGTGTGTTTGAGCGTGTCACACACCGAGATCAGCATCTCCACTGACGGATTGGCAGAAATCAACAAATGCTGATGAAACACAGCGGCCCTTCACACACACACACACACACACACACAGATGGATCAGTGTCGCTGTAATTCAGCTCTGATTAATAAACACTGAGTGTCCATGACTGTACCTGGTCTGCAGCGATGCGATGAAGAAGCGGAGGACTGAAGCTCGGTTCCCTCTCTGCTCTAGAACAGCTCTGATGGCTCTGCAGGCCTGTTCTGTGATCGCACACACCTGAACAACACACACCTGATATTTACTGTTAATATTTCTCTGAAAAATTATTCAAGAATATTTGAATAATGCATTTGAATGATGCATTTATATAGCGCTTTATTGTGTATTGTTGTGCGCCCAAACCGCTTTACAATCATGTGGGGGGGGTCTCTCCTCAACCACCACCAGTGTGCAGCATCCAATTGGATGATGCGACAGCAGCCACAGGACAACGGTGCCAGTGCACTCACCACACACCAGCTACAGGTGGAGAGGAGAGAGAGTCATAGAGCCAATCAAGTGGTTGGGGATTATTAGGGGGCCATGCTTGACAAGGGCCAGGGGGGCAATTTGGCCAGGACAAAGGGTTACACCCCTACTCTTTACAAGAAGTGCCATGGGATTTTTAATGACCACAGAGAGATTTATTAATTGTGCATTAAATATTTATTAATTGTGTATTAATTGTTTATTAAAAGTGTTTAGTGCGAGAACAACATTTTTTCCATTTACATTAACTCTCCTTTTACATAACTCTTCTAGTAAATGTTTACACAAATGCTCTTTTCTTTTAATTTGATATTTTGAGCCTAAGGACTAAAGCAGCCTTTTGTAAAAAAAAAAAAAAACTAATAAATTAAATACATTTATTATTAATAAATAAATAAATATGCTATTTATTTATTAACTTACATGTCTGATATATGACAACATACACTTCTGTAAATCAATGTAAATTACCATACTTTCATTTAGTAATAAGTTATTTTAATTCATATTAATACATTGTTTAAAACTGAGTCACAAATGTCAGTTGTGATATTTGTGTATTTCATCTGATAAAACACACATCCAAAGTAAATAAATAAATAAAAAATAATTTCCCCCCTCATATTTAACATTTAAATATCACATTTATCACTCAGTTTAAGCAAGTCCAGGACTGGAATTAAGAACCCCTCACATACATATCCTTGAATATATATTTTATAAACATTAAAGAAATGTTTATTGGAATGCTGGTCACACTTTAGTTTAGGGACCAATTTGCTGGGCTCCGCCTCCAAATTTGCTGCTTATTAATAGTTAGTAAGGAAGTTGTTAATTAAGGTATGGGGTGGATTAAGAGATGTAGAATATGGTCATGCAGAATATGTGCTTTATAAGCACTAATACACAGCCAATATGCTAGTAATATGCATGCTGATAAGCAACTGGTTAATAGTGAGAATTGATTCTTAAATAAAATAAATATAATATTTAATGAAAATATAAAATATAATGAATACAGACTTGATTATGTTCAATATTCAAGTATATACAAGTTTTTCAGTGTTTGTCTCAGTTAATGTTAATATCCCTAAACTCGTTTGGTGTGTATGACTGTCCTCAGTTGAGCGGCTGTCACTCATTCTGCACCTGATGATGCGTTTCCTGTTCTTCTTGTTCCACTACGGTCATTTGGAGCGTCTGAGCGAGTAAAAAGCAGAACTCCTCGTCTCCTCCGATCTCCTGCGCCTCCTGCAGCAGAGCGAGAGCCTCGCCGAAGCGCTGCTCATGATTGGCCAGAACCGCCAGCAGGAGTAAACTCTTAGCCAATGACAGCTGGTCTCCAAGCTCCTGAAACATATTAATGACTCTAGTGATGCATTAGGAAAGAGATGTAAGTTCATTTAAATTTCCATTTTATTAGGCTTATTTATTTATATTTCAGTTGGTAGATCTCGTTGAGTTTCTCATTTGAAAGGTAGATCCCCACACAAAAAAAGTGTGGGCACCCCTGCTCTAGAAAGAAGAGCTTTACAGAATCTGAATCACAGAATCTGTTCAGTAGCACATATCTGAAGACATTAACTCACTGACACGGTGAAATTTATACTGCAAAACATCTATTTCAGTATCTTCAAATTTCAAGTTTTACTGTGAAAGTGATGCATTAGGAAAAATTTCCATTTTATTAGGCCTATTTATTTATATTTCAGTTGGTAGATCTCATTGAGTTTCTCATTTGAAAGGTAGATCCCCACACAAAAAAAGTGTGGGCACCCCTGCTCTAGAAAGAAGAGCTTTACAGAATCTGAATCACAGAATCTGTTCAGTAGCACATATCTGAAGACATTAACTCACTGACACAGTGAAATTTATACTGCAAAACATCTATTTCAGTATCTTCAAATTTCAAGTTTTACTGTGAAAATATCTCAATATCTTTACAACAATATACATACGAGAGGTAGTGACAGCTTTTTTTGTTATTTTATATTTTTTCTGTAAGATAATCTATAATGGTGAATGCTGTTTTCTATTGACTTTTCTATTTATCTGTGAATCCTGAAAAATAAAATATATGACCGTTTCCACAAAAATATTGTGCAGCACAACTGTTTTCAACATTGATAATAATCAGAAATGTTTCTCGAGCAGCAAATCAGCATATTAGAATGATTTCTGAAGATCATGTGACACTGAAGACTGGAGTAATGATGCTGAAAATACAGCTGCGCATCACAGAAATACATTACATTCTAACAGATATTCACATAGAAAACAGATCTTTTAAATTGTAATATTTTAAAAATTTTACTGTATTTTTGACCAAATAAATGCAGCCTTGCTGAGCAGAAGATACTTTTTTTTCAAAAACATGAAAAAATCTTACCAACCTGGTAGTGATCTTAATTTACATAATGATTTACTTTAAATCTAGCACAATATTCTTATTTTTACAGTGTTAAATGAATTGATCTAAATCAGAAATATAACAAATTATGATTGCTCCAGGAATAACTGGCTTAAAACTACACAAAAAGTCTTATATTTACCATCCAATTTCAAGATGTCTGTTGTTTGAAATGTTTGAAATGCGTGTGCGTGTGTGTGTGTGCGTGTGTGAGTGAGTGTGTGTGTGAGAGTGTGTGTGTGTGTGTGTGTGTGTGTGTGTGGGAGTGAGTGTGTGTGTGTGTTGTGTGTGTGTGAGTGTGTGTTCACCTGGGCTGTCAGGTGAGTGTGAGTCAGCAGGACTTTCGCAGGCTGGAACAGGTTCAGACTCAGACACACGTCGGCTTTGGCCAGCCACAGCTGATGAGGACTGAGAGCGGATGCTGTCCATCCACACGGATCTCCGTCAGCAGTCTGAGGGATCAGAGTTAGACTGACATTAAACATCATAATGCACTCAGTTCGGTTTGACCCAGAAGAGATATATACAAATTTCAGAAAAAATCATTGTTTTTTTTTTGTAAAGATAGGAAACTTTGCAAATGCTTTAAGACCCTCAAAAATTTACATCATTGTATTTTCAGATTTTTAAAATTTTATTCTTTTAAGAGATATAACTATTTTCAAAAAAATGTTCGTGTCAGAGTCATTTTTGACACAGGTATGTGCGGAGTATCATCAGGCTTAAACTCTTTTGTAAAATGATCTAGGAAGTTATATTAGTGTCAAAAAGCTTCTGTAAATTATATTTCCCCTTTTCTCCGTATCTCAGATAGTTTCGGGACTGAATTTTGTCGATAAACATGAATGTGCCTATTGACCAACCACTGCGCCGTGAAAAATGTATCAATTTTTCAGTGAAACTTTATGCAAGTAAAATGAATTCATTTTGTTTGAAAAATAAGTCATATTTATGTTGTTTTGTTAGAAATAAATATGTAGGTTTCAGAAATGTGGACTATTTTTGAACACTCATTATTAGAGAGCTATAAATTTATGTTTATATTAATTTAATATGAATTTTCATTCATTCCAATGGGGTTACATGTTCATATAAAATTCATACACTAACACGTTCAAATAAAATTTCTCATCAATATCAAGTATATATATATATATATATATATATCGATCTACAGTATATCTGTCACGGTTATGTTCTGTTTTGGTTCTATCTATCTATCTATCTATCTATCTATC